AGGAAATCTAGAATGGTTGGTCACCCTATCCTTGTCAACACTTGCTAGTGTATTTTTTATTTTAGCCACTCTAACGTGTGTATCTATTACATTCTAATATAATTAGTATCTCATCATTTTAATTTGCATCTCCCTGAGAGCTGACAAAGTCGAGCATCTGTTCATGCACTGTTTGCCATCCATACGTCCTCTTTGGTGAACTCTTTAAAAAAAAAAAAGTCTTTATTGATTTCAGAGAAAGGAAGGGAGAGGGAGAGAGAGAGAAATGTCAATGATGAGTCACTGATCAGTTGCCTCCTGCCTGCCCCCTACTGGGGATCAAGCCCACAACCCGGGCAGGTGCCCTGACCAGGAATCGAACCTCGATCTCCTGGATCCTAGGTCGAGGCTCAGCTGCTGAGCCACGCCCAGGGGGATGGTGAACTGTCTCCTTAAGTCTAGTCTCAATTTTTGTTTATTGGGTTGTCCTCTAACCGTTGAGTTTTGAGAGCTTTTTATATATTCTCTCTCTATAGTTGGATACGTGATTTCCACATTTTTTCTCCCAGTCTATAGCTTATGTTTTCATTCTGTTCAGCAGTGTCTTTGTGAAAGCAAAATTTAAATATTTTGATGACGCCGTTTTCCTTTGGTTTTCTTTATTTGCGGTAAGATTTAAGTAACATAAAATTTACCATTTGAAATGTTTTTAAGTGTGCCGTTCAGTGGCGCTGAGTATGTCCAGTGCCGTGTAAGCATCCTCACTACTTCCAGGGCTTTTCGTCACTCCAGACAGAAGCTCTGCACCCGCCAAGTGGTGTCACCCCCCAGCCCCTGGGAACCTCTGTCCTGCGTCCTGTCTCTCGAATGGGCCGCGTAAGGGGACCTGCACACTGTTCGTCGGGCTTCCTCCCTTAGCACGATGTCCTCGAGGTTCCTGCACGTCTCTCTCTCCCCCTCCCCCTTCCACTCTCTCTGAAAACGAAAAAATCAATGTGACAGACACGTCGATTTGTTGCGCCCCCAATGCCCCGCACCCCGCGTGCGGGAGCGGGTGGGGGGGCTGACCCTGCACCCCGGGCACATGCCCTTGACCAGGCATCGAACCCCGGGCCCCTCAGCGCTCGGGCGACGCTCCAACGACTGCACCACGCCGGCCAGGCCTAACTGTCTTTCTCTTTTTAAGTTTTATCGCCTCTCAGAGCGAGGAAGGGGGAGAGAAACGCGGCCGGGAGAGAGGCGGA